TTGGCACCAGGGCGGTCGGGGGACAGAGCTTGGGGACCCACTTGTGCCCCATCTCGGGGCTGCGCTTTCAGGGCAGCATGGTGGGATTGGGTGATGTGGGTTTGTGGGGTTGGGGGAGCAGAGACCTCTCCATCTGGCTGTCCCTGCCAGCCCCCTGCCAGGGCACATGGGGGGGCGTTGCCCAAGCACCGTCTGCCTGACCCTCCCTGCCTGCTCGCTGGCGAGTGCTGCCAGCCAGGGGTGGCTGCGGGCAACCTCGGCAGCACCGGGGCCGAGCCTTGGCACGCTCAGCATCTCCGTGGGAGTGGGGAGGGGCTGAAGAGGACAGAGTGTCATTGCATACATGTACAGGGGTGTGTGTGCGCAGGGCGACCAGTGGTGGCCATGCCATGCTGTGCCATGTCGTGCCAAGCTGTTCCGGCACCAGGATGTGCAGGGCTGGTTCCGTTCCTGCTGGTGCTGGGGAGGAGCAGCCGCCGCACAGCGGTGTCACCCAGCTCTGGCTGCTGCGCTGGGGTGTCCTGTACCACCCTGCCCCATGCCTGGGCACAAGGGCATCAGGGCACTCAGGGGAGCCTGCTCCTGCCCACCTTGGACCCTGACGTGGAGCCATGACAGCCCCTGGTAGTGGTTGTGCCAGGCTGAAGGGGACAGCAGCCCTGCTTGGGGCAGGCGGAAGGGGACAGCAGCTCTGCTGGTGTGCCCGTAGCCCTGGCACGGGGGTGCTGGGGGGTTCCCCTCAGCTCGTGCAGCTCTGGATAAGGGTTTATGGCCTGACTGGCTGCAGACTGGGCAGGGCAGCAGATGGCACAGCAGGCTGGCTCCATCCCAGCTCTGGATGACACTGCCTGTTATTAATGAGGGTGTTGCCTGATGCTTTAGCAGGTCTCCTTGCCTGCAGCACCTGTCACCATGGTCGAGCTCAGCACCAAAGTCATCAGAACGCTCAACAAGACCACGCCGGGCATCCAGATATGGCGAATCGAGGTGGGGATGGGGGCACAGCTCGCCTGGGCACCCATCACCTGGGCACCCATCACTGGGCTGTTTGTGGGAGCTGTGGGAGGGAAGACCCCCACTTTCAGCTTTGTGTCTTTAGTGCCTGGGTTTGGAGGTCTCAGTGCGGCACCCAGGGTGCTGGGGGCGGCGGGGAGCACGGGGCTGGGCTGAGGGGTCTCTGCCAGGGCTGATGTCTCCTTTCATTCTGCAGAAAATGGAGATGGTGCCAGTGCCCACCAAAAGCTATGGCAACTTCTACGAGGGGGATTGCTACGTCCTGCTGTCGGTAGGGCAGCCTGGGGGCCTGCAGGGACGGGCTCTGCCCCAGGGGAGGGGCTGGGGTGCGGGGAGGGGTGCACCTGGCCCACGTGGCCCGGAGCCATGGGGTCTTTTCCATCGGGGAATGGTGTCCTGCAGACACGCAAGACTGGGAACGGCTTCAGCTATGACATCGGGTGTCCAGGACGAGCAGGGGGCAGCTGCCATCTACACCACCCAGATGGATGACTGCCTGGGCACAGTGGCCGTGCAGCACCGTGAGGCCCAGGGCCACGAGAGCGAGACCTTCCGTGCCTACTTCAAGCAGGGACTCATGTACGTCGGTCACCCTGGGGACCCACTCCCACAGTGGGTCATGGCGGGGAGGGATCCTCTGCATGCCCCCATGGGGACATCTCCATTAGGGACGAGGACTGCCCCATCCCAGTGGGGTGGGGGAGGCAGAAGGGGGATCTAGAGCTGGTCTTACTCCATCCATCACCCATGTGGATGGGTAAGGGTCCCCAAACACCTTTGCACACAGAGGTGGGAGGTGGACCTGGCTGGAGCGAGGAGGGGGGTCTAGGGCTGACACCACGTCTGTCCCTCCCAGCTATAAGAAGGGTGGTGTGGAGTCGGGCATGAAGCACGTGGAGACGAACACCTACAAAGTCCAGCGCCTGCTGCATGTCAAGGGCAAGAAGAACGTGGTGGCAACAGAGGTGAGTTTTGCGATGTAGGTCCCCAGCCACCAGCCTCTATGCAGAGATGCCACCCAGCTACCCTCAAGTAGGAGGCAGCAGCACTGAGGCAGGGCAGGCAGGGGCTGCAGAGCCAGGGGGACCCAGGTGTCCTGTTGTTTGACCCCTTCAACCCCCATTCCCATGCTGCTGCAGGTGGAGGTGAGCTGTGGAGGTATTCCTGTTGGATCTGGGCCAGCTCATCGTCCAGTGGAACGGCCCCGAGAGCAACCGAAATGAGAGGCTGAAGGTGTGGTCAGTGGGGTCCCAGGGCTCCCCCCTGGAGGAAGGGGTCTGACTAGCCAGCCCCTCCCTGATCCGGGCTGACTCCTTCCCTCCCGGGGTGCAGGCGATGACCCTGGCCAAGGACATCCGGGACCGGGAGCGCGGGGGCCGTGCCAAGGTGGGCGTGGTGGACGGTGAGGATGAGGGCGCTTCGCCGGGGCTCATGCAGGTCCTCACCCATGTGCTGGGCGAGAAGAGGGACATTAAGGCAGCCACCCCTGATGACAAAGTGGACCAGAAGCTCAATTCTGCCCTCAAGCTCTACCAGTGAGTTGCTGGGGATCGGTTGTCCGGGGGCAACTTGCAAGGTGCCAGAGGGACCCAGCACTCATCTCTGCTGTGTCCCACGACTCCTGTCCCCATGGACAGCCACGAAGAGGGGTCAAGGCCATCACAGGGGTGGGGACAGATCCTTTGGATGCCACTGGAACAAGGCGAGTCCTTGGTGCCAACAGGGTTGGTACCCAATGGGAAGATGCTCATGAAAGCATGACCTTTAGATACAGTGGCGATATGCCTGGCTAGCCCAATCACATCTAACACCTCTTTGTCCCTCCTCACGGCCACAAATGTGTCACATGGCAGGACAAGCTGCAACGCAGATTGCTACCATGGCAGGGCAAGAGGATCCCTGGGTTCCACCTCTGCCATGATCAGGATGGGGAAGGGGATAGGGAGGGGATGCCCTCACAAGATGGGGTTGGGGAGGAGGTTTCCCAGCCCTGTTTCTAACCCCCTCTCCTCCTTTCTTCTCTCCTGACAGCGTCTCCAATGCCAGTGGGAACCTGATCATACAGGAAGTAGCGATTCGACCCCTGACTCAAGACATGCTCCAGCATGAGGTTCGTTACCCATGGGATGCTTGGGGCGCATGAGTTGTTTGGCAGCTTTAACCCTTCAAAAGCCATTTTGAAGGGTTAAAGCTGCCCAAAGTCTTAATTTCTGCTGTTGTCTCCCCCTCCAAGGACTGCTACATCCTTGATCAAGGAGGTCTCAAGATATTTGTGTGGAAGGGCAAGAATGCCAACAAGGAGGAGAAGCAGCAGGCGATGAGCAGGGCACTGGTGGGTGTAGGGTTAGGGGTTGGTTATGGGATAACCTGGCTGCTCCCTGGGGTGCCAGGCACCTTGTGCCCATGCTCTGGATCTGAACCTCCCCAGGGCTTCATCAAAGCCAAGAACTATCCAGCCAGCACCAGTGTGGAGACAGAGAATGATGGGTCTGAGTCGAGTATCTTCAGGCAGCTCTTCCAAAAATGGACCGTCCCCAACCAGACCAGTGGGCTAGGCAAGACTCACACTGTCGGCAAAGTGGGTGAGTGTCCCCTTCCAACACTGCAGGGCTCCCTGAGTTGGGATGGGAGGGCTGTGAGGACCCCCACGACCAGTGGGATGTGGCTCAGTCCTTTGCTCATCCCCGCAGCCAAGGTGGAGCAGGTGAAGTTTGACGCCACCACGTTGCACGCCAAGCCCCAGATGGCCGCCCAGCAGAAGATGGTGGATGACGGATCCGGAGAGGTGGAGGTAGGGTGGCTAGGGCAAAACGTGGGACCTTCTCAGGGCACTGCCTACACTGGACTAAGGGATGCTGTGGAGTCCGGGGACTGCAGGACAAGGGGATGCACCAGCCCTGGCAGCAGCACGTCCCCGTCCCTATCCCACCAGGTCTGGCGTGTGGAGAAGGGGGAGCTTGTGCCTGTGGAGAAGAGGTGGTTGGGCCATTTCTATGGCGGCGACTGCTACCTGGTGCTCTACACCTATTTTGTGGGGCCCAAGGTGAACCGCATCATCTACATCTGGCAGGTGAGACCCTCAAGTCACTGACTTGTGGGTGGAGAACAGGGGCACCTCCGCAGACCGGGGCTGCCCTGCGCCTGTACGTGACCCCATGGGAACAGTGTGAGGGTTCCCTCTTCCCAAGAGGGAAGAGGGGGTCGTGGTGTGTGCTGAACCCCCTCTGCCCTGCCCAGGGCCGACAAGCCAGCACAGACGAGCTGGCCGCCTCTGCCTACCAAGCTGTCATCCTGGACCGGAAGTACAACGACGAGCCTGTGCAGGTCCGCGTCACCATGGGCAAGGAGCCGGCCCACCTGATGGCCATCTTCAAGGGCAAGATGGTGGTGTACGCGGTAAGCGCAGAGCTGCCAGGGGGTGGGGAATGGGCAGGTGGGTGAGTCCGTAGCTCTGGCGGTGACCTCCTGTCCCCATCCCTGCAGGGTGGCACCTCACGGGCAGGTGGCGAGGAGCCCGCACCCTCCACCCGCCTCTTCCACGTGCATGGCACCAATGAGTACAACACTAAGGCCATCGAGGTGCCCGTCCGTGCCTCCTCCCTCAACTCCAACGATGTCTTTGTGCTCAAGACCCCCAGCTGTTGCTACCTCTGGTATGGGAAGGTGAGTACCACTGGGCACCAGGGTGGGTGCTGCCACCCCCAAGAAGAATGCTCCCATCTCCTCTTTCTCTTCCTTGGCTGGGGCTGGTGGTGGAGCAGCTGTGATTGTTTGGCAGGGCTGCAGTGGGGATGAGCGTGAGATGGGCAAGATGGTAGCTGACATCATCTCCAAGTCAGAGAAGCCAGTGGTTGCAGAGGGACAGGAGCCTCCTGAGTTCTGGCTGGCCCTGGGGGGCAAGTCTCAGTATGCCAACAGCAAGAGGTACCCGCCCTGTTCCCAAGAGTCCCTTGTCCCTACCCTCCCTTGGGGGTAAGATGGACCAGCAGTCCCTGAGCAGGGTGAGCCCTGTTCCAACCACCACTGTGCATTGCCCCCTGACAGGCTACAGGAGGAGAACCCCTCCGTGTCTCCCCGACTCTTTGAGTGCTCCAACAAGACAGGCACCTTCTTGGCCACAGAGATTGCAGACTTCACCCAAGATGACCTGGAGGAGGATGACGTGTACCTGCTGGACACCTGGGACCAGGTGACCTGCGGGGTTGGGGGTACACCTTTGATCCCATAAGCTGATGGTCCCCAGGGTGGGTGGAGGACCTGCAGCAGCCAGAGATGATGAAAAAGAGAAAACCCCCACATCTCTGGCCTCATGCGTTTTTTTTTTTCCAGCCCCCTTGCTCAAGGGATGACTGAGGATGGAATCCCAGTGCCCTTCCCCGCGGACAGGTCCTGTGAGCACCCAGAGGCATGGCCCCAGGGGGCCCCGCCTCAGCCCGGTGGTGGACACGGCAACCTCATTGCAGATTTTCTTCTGGATCGGGAAAGGCGCCAACGAGTCGGAGAAGGAGGCTGCGGCGGTGATGGTGCAGGAGTACCTGCGGAACCACCCCAGCGGGCGCGACCTCGACACCCCCATCATCGTGGTGAAGCAGGGCCACGAGCCCCCCACCTTCACCGGCTGGTTCCTGGCCTGGGACCCTCTCAACTGGGCCGTGAGTCATGAATGGGGCCGGAAGGATCGGGG